TATATTAATTTCTTCTTACCAAAGATCTCTTTATTTCTTTATTCTTTTAAAATTTATTTTTTGTTTTGTTTTCTTGTACTCTCTATACGGCCCATCTGATTTCTTTGCCCCATCAGGGAGGGGACATCTTGTTTGGAGCTTTCAATTCAATTGTGATGTGTATTTGCGGCTAAGGGGTTGGACATTCAATTATATTTTCTAGTTTTGTCTTTGTCCTAATAGTTTCATAGCAATATTATTCCAAAAAACGGTTTGTCATCTTTAATGTTCTGGTGCTACCGAGGCATGAAATTCAGTGAGTCCTAAATTAGATGTGTGATGTGATTGTGGATACAGTTGCGAGCCATTGATTAAAGTTTAGAATTTTTTTTAATCCACCATAATATTCTATTTGAAGGACCTACAACCTTAAATCTTAACGATCTGTTTGATTCTCTTGTGATTTTATTATGGTTCGTTGAATTCCTTTGCCATACACTGTGATTAATATGGTTTTTGTGTTTGAATTTTATTGTGCTAATTGGGGAAAGGTTGGTGTTGGTATATATTTTTTTCTATGTAATGACTTACTGTTCCGTTTTCCATTTTGTCCCGACCACCTCCGATTTGCATGAATCGGCTGAAAAATTCAGCCAGGCGGCGCTTAGTCGGGCGGGCTCGGCGACAATTTTTCACCTTTTTTTTTTCAAAAAAAAGTACTAATTACATTATTTTGTTATCATGTTTTTACTAATATTATTCTTTGGACTTAGGTGTGTGAATTTCCTTATTCTCTTAATATTAATTTCTTAGTCTATTCTCTTGTGCTACCTATACAACTTATTCGATTTCTTTACCCTACCTAAGTGGACGTCTTGGTGGGGCTTTGACTTCAATAGTGATATATATTTACGGCTAAGGGGTTGAATAGTAGATTATAATGTTTTAGTTTTGTATGTTATAATATTTTCAACATTTTCTTTAATTGCAGTTCTGAAAATGGTTTGCCATCTTTGATGTGCCGGTATTAACGTGGCATAAAACTGAGTTTAGGTCCTCAATTGGATGTGTGCTATGGCTTTTAGATTTGGTTTTGAGGTATTGATTAGAGTTTAGAGTTTTCAATCAACTATAATATTGTAGTTGGTGAACCTGCAACCGGAAAATCTAATCCTCTATTTCACTCTTGTGTTGCAACCTTGTTAATTCCTTATTGTTTCCTTAGCGTTTTAACTTTGATCTTTTTATTACATTCTCTTATGCTATTAATATGGTTCATTCGAATTCTTTGCCCTACCTTGGGCGACGACTTGGTTTGGGTTTGAATTCAGTTGTGTTGCTTATTTGTGGCTATAGAGTTGGGCATTCAATTAGTCGTTTTATAACTTTGATCTTTGTACTAATATTTTTCATCTAGGTCCTATATTTTCATTATGCTTTTAATTTTGATATCTGGTGCTTCCAATAAAGTCCATCCAATTCCTTGTCTTCCCTTGGGGACATCTTGGTTTTGGCCTTGAATTTGATTGCGCTATCTATTTGTGGCTAAGGGATTGGACACATTTGATTACATTTTTAAGTTTTCTTGTACTATCAATACGGCCCATCCGATTTCTTTGCCCTATCTCATTAAAGAGGGGACGACTTAGTTTGGGATTTTAGTTCGATTGTGCTATGTATTTGCGACTACGGGGTTTTGGCTTTGTCTATGGTCTAGTAGTTTCTTAGCAATAGTTTTATTCCAAAAAATTGTTTGCCATTTTTGATGTTCTGGTGCTAACCATTGATTAGAGTTTAGAGGTTTCTCAATTCACTATAATATTCTATTTTTGAAGAACCTGTAACCTTAAATCTTAGTCTCCAGTTTCACTCTCTTGTGTGACGACTTAGATTGCTCTTTGAATCAGGTTGTTCTGCTTATTGGTGGCTATTGAATTGGACATTCAATTGGATTTTTATTAGCATGGTATATATATTATATACTAATATTTTCCAACTAAGGTCATGTTTTTGCTTTATACTTTTAATTTTGATCTCTTGGTGTTACCATTAAGCCATTTTGTTGCTCTGTCTTTGCCTCTTTGGGATGCCTTCGTTTGGGCAATCCATTTAGTTGTGCTACCTATTTGTGGCTGAGGGGTTGGAGATTCCATTAAACTTTAAGTCTTACTAGTACGAATTGTGCGATGCACGGGTAAGCGATATTAATTAATATTTATAAATTAAAAATTATATTAAATAATATTTATAAATTTGAACATGTAACAATGTACTTATATAATTTATTGAAAATGTCGTATAAAATTTAAATTGTGCAAAATTACATAAAACTGTCTATTGTACATAACTGATAATAAATTACATTATATTCATTTCAAAATATGTGTCAATTCAAAATTTTATTCAGAAATTCGATTTGACTATAACGTGATTCCAAAGCCACTTCTTTTCTTTTTGTCCAAGTCACTCCTAGTGACAAACCCCTATATTCCTTTTATTACTGTATCTATGCCGAAGTGGGTTCACCCGTATTTTACAGATGAAGAGTATTTTTGAGGAGGATGATTTTGGTTTTGACAGAATTTGAAATCATTGAGTTCAGACATTAGCCAGGATCTTTCAGAAAACGGATTCCTATTCGAAGAGTGTGACAAAAGTATTCGGTTATTGGGGAAAAATCAAGAAATAATTATTTTGGTAAAATTTTATCATATATTTAAAACCCGATGTGAATAATAAGTATAAATAATGAGACGGAATTTTGAATTCAAAAAAATTATAAATTATAAATATATATTTAATTTTTGATTTATATAAAAAGATGTTATTGTATTTTGCCTAATTCTAAATTTTTGTTTAACCCGATTTTAAGGCAACTAAATAATGAATAAAAAATTTTAAATTTTAAATTTGAAATGAGAACACATTTTCTATGCAATAAGATTTTTTCACATTTTTCCGTAACAATCTAATATGTATTTTTTTAAGAAAAAGTAACTAAAACTTACTCAATGACTTTTTTTAATAATGATTAATTAAAATAATCATGTGTTTAATTATTTTATTATATAGTAGTTATTACTAAAGCTAACCAATTATAACGGAAATGCTCCCCTACCCACGGTGGGCACATGTTAATATGTCAACCGCTTATGTGGCATGCACACATTGGTGATGTTAATATGTTAAAAAAAATACATCACCAATGTGTGCATGCCACATAAGCGGTGGGCATATTAACATGTGCCCACCGTGGGTAGGGGAGCATTTCCCCCAATTATAATTCACACTAAATGATATATAGAAGTTTAATAAATATAAAATATTATATTGCAAAGTTTTTTCATAAACTATTTATTGCTCTTAAGTATTTTTTTAATAAGCTAATCGGCTTTAACTGTATAATCAATCCTCTTAAAATTTCATAATAATAATAATAATAATAATAATAATAATAATAATAATAATAATAATAATAATAATTTTTAATATAATTAATAGGCTAGGATCTCTCAAATTTATAAGTACTACATTATTCATTTCATTTTATGCAATCAATATAGTGATGAAATTAAATATTTTTAATGTTCATTTTTATTAATGACAAATATTTTAAAATGTAATACTATTTTCTAACTTATATTTTTTTTTTTGGTACATCCAACTTATAATTTTATATTATATGTATAGATATAACTTATAATAATTTAAACATTTGTGCATGTGCACATGATTGAATACTTGTAATATTGTATTTGGCAAACCTGCAACCTTAAATTCTACTCCTCTGTTCGACTCTCTTGTGCTATTAAGTAGAAATTAGAGTTTTCCATCAACTATAATATTGTACTAGTACAACACCCGTGTACTTGTTAAAAAATTATTCTTAAATTTTAAAAATGGTGAAAAACATTATTTTAAATTTATTTACTTTCTTACAAAAAAAATATATATTAATATATATTTTAGAATGACACTTGTTACTTGTGCGACTTATATGTGTTATATTATAGTAATTTTTATAACTTATATAATATAACTATTTGAAATATATATATATTAATCGATAAATAATTTTATTTTTTTAATTAATATTAAAAATTAATTTTATTATTGTTATAAAGATAAATATATTTTTTGTTTATACATACAATATGGATGTTAAATCGAACCTCATCAAGAGATCATTAATTTGATATACTATATATGTGAAACTGATAAAAAATACAAATTTATTAACTTTTAAAGTACATTTACGATTCAATGATAATAATAAGAAATGATATTAAAATGCAATTAATACATGTAACATGACCATAAATAATCAACATATTTATGGATAATCCGAACATAGTTAATTTTGGATTTGAAGTAAATTAAAATCTACCCAAGCTTAATAACGAACCATGTATTTTGCCACATATGAACTCGAAAAATGGGCATACTTTCCTCCATTTTCAGGGTGTAACATGCGAGCCTACTTATCATCATGTTTTGAATTAATATATAAGGGGGATTTGGCAAACCTGCAACCTTAAATTCTACTCCCCTGTTCACTCTCTTGTGCTGCAACCTTGTCAACTACTTAATGTTTCCTTTCATTTTAATTTTGATCTTTTTGTTCCGTTCTCATATGCTAGCAATATAGTTCATTTGAATTCTTTGCCCTAGGGCGATGACTTGCTTGGGGTTTGAATTTGATTGCGCTGCTTATTTGTGGCTACAGAGATGGACATTCAATTGGTATGTGCAATATATTTAAAACAAAAATGCTTCTTGCTCCGTCAAGTTCCCATCGTATTGAGTACTCTCTGATGTGTCAACCCATTTTTATCTCTCCATTTTTCCTATTCTAATTCCCCCAAATCGTCTTTTTTTTTTTTCCCTAATACTTCTTCTCGTATCTATCTCCATTTTTCTTCTTCTAATTCCCCCATAATTTTAGAATTTTCAAAGATTTATTAAAATTGTGTTCTCTCTTATTTTTTGCTGCAAAATAAAATTGATTCCAAAATAAGGAATCACAAACCATAGGGCTTGCGAACGCGGACAGAGGGCTCGCGCATCGCATGGCCGCGGTTGCTGGCGCGGCGGAGGAAGAGGGTGGCACCGCCGAGGCTGGGGGACGGCGTAGGAATCGGCTGCGGGTGCGGAAGGACTGGTCGTCGAGAAAAGGGGTATCGTTCATGGCCGGTGGTGGGGACGCGGGGTTGCTGTGGGAGGACATTGTTTTGAGTTTGACAGATAGATTTTTTTCTTTTTGTTTTTTAATGACAGAGTGTTTGATTTGTTGGGGTTTATTGTAACCTGTATTGTAATGCATTTGGTGTCTGTTATTTTCTTTGATTCTGTTTGAAGAAGTTAGCGAGTAAAAAATTGTAGAAAATGACTGATACAGGGCTAGAGAGATAGAGGGGTTAAAGACTTTTAATGAGATATAAATATAATTTAATTTCTTAAGAGATAAAGAGGAGTTAAAGATTTTTAATATGACTATTTATTTTAAATACACATCAGGAGGTAGGTTCATGGAATAGAAATTGGTGGGGTTGTACCGTATTTAAATCATGTGGCAAAGAAAAAATTTCGCCAATGATGTTCCCATCTTTAAATTTGTAGATATTTGTTCAACCAAAGAACGAGATGCAAATATATGACTACTTGTTAAAAAAAAAAAAAAATCATAGAGGCAACAAAAAATCACAAAGCAACCAGAAAGACTTATGTCTCACCAATCAAAAGAAACTTTTCATATAGCAAACTTATCCCAAAATCATACTTGACTTCAAGAAATTAAACAAAAAAAACTCAAAATAGTACATTGTGAACACTAGACACTAACTAGCTAGATTTGCAGAATCAGCTCCAACTCTATGAGTGTGTATACTATAATAACAAACCCTCGTTGGCAGCTCGATTTCCTTCATTTCCTGCGTGACAAGATTGTACACCAAAACATTTCGACCGCTCGTGATATTAGTACTTAGGACCAAAACCTCCAAGTACTTAACCCACCCAACCGGTTTTACGTTCCCATCACAACTTTTCGACTCGAAATATTGTCTCTTGTGACCCTCCAACGAAAAATCTCCCATCTTTCTCCACGCGAATGTGTCGGGACTCATCTCCCAAACCTCCCACAAAAACTCCCCAAATTGTCGCAACAAAGTCAAATATTTCCCGGTCGACAAATAAGTGTTCCGAAAGTCCTTTCTTGCCACATTATTATTAATATTATTAGGGTAATCGGGCCCCAAACTCTCCGTAAAAACCTCCGTCTCCAAATTCATGCTCAACATCTTCTCGTCGTTTTTCGTGCACCAATGCATGAAACCTTCGGTAATCAAAACCGAGCTCGATTCGGACACGCGAGGCTCGAACGACACGACTCTCCACGAGCCTTCTCCTACAGAGAGTATATGAAACTCGTCCGCCTTCACGGCTTCGTGTTGATCGGGAGGAAAGCAGAGAACCACTTTACGCAATTTTCCCGCGGAAGAAAACTGAGCTTTCGCGGTTCCCCATAAAGCCATGCGTATCGTTTTCGAGCGGCCGGCGAAGATCGGAGGAGGAAGGAAAAGCTTTTCACCCGTCGAGCGATGAGATAGGGTGACGTGGCGAAGACTCTCTTTCTCGGAGAAGGCTAAGCAAATGTCCGAGCTGGCGGTTCGGGCCGGGCTAGTGGGTCCGGGACTCGACTCGGATAACTCGACACGGCCGTCTCGCGCGGAAATTGAGAAAGAGGATTGGTACGATTTGAAGAGGAGGGCGTACGTGTGGAGTGTACGGTGCTGCTTCGGAGCACGTGCTAGCAAGATTTTGGACAGAAACATGTGTCTTGATTTAGGGTTTAGGTTTAGGTTTTCCTTTTGGACATGTGCATAGCAAAACAACAAAGTATTATGATCATAAGATGCACTAAAGTCTAAATAAATTAAATTCAGTTATTATTGGGATATATATTGAAAGATGAATAAAAAATGGATATGGTGGGAGGATTAATTGAGGGTTTATTACCTGAGTTGGGCCGCCGGAGACGGCGGAGGCGGAGGCGGAGGCGGAGGCGGCGGGGATATATGTAGCGTGGCGGCTGGTGACGTAGTTTCGTGGAGTGGTAGAGTAGGGGAAGTCAAAGTCAAATATATGTTAAGGGGAAGAGCCCAGGCCCACAATAACCAAAAAGGAGTCTTGTTCTTGGTCATTTTCCGACATATTGTTTTTGGTTTAGACACAAGTCAAAATCACATAATATGAGCCCAGGCCCACAATAACGTTATATTTAACGAAAAAACAAAAGGAATTTACATAAATATACACAACATAAATAACGTTATATTTAACGTTATATATATTTGTCGGGTGGCTTTGTGGCGGCGGTGGGCGCTTGGTCATATGGCGGATGAAGCCCGCGGCTTGCTGCTCTGTGGCTCTACCTCTCCGCCCTTGTTTCGGCCATGGTGTTCGGCTAACGGGGGCTGCAGCCGGTGGTGGCGACAACGAGCTGGTCTGGGGGTCCGTGCGCGGCTTCACTGGTGCTATTTTGAGGATGAAAACATTGGTAGGGTTTCATCTTAGGTCTAGTTCTTGATAGCCGGTCGCGGAGTTTCTAGGATTTTGGGCCGAGATTCGATCCGAGTGTTGGCTTGCTTGAGGTTGCTAGACGAGGTTTGGCCGGTGTAGAGAGGGTTTTAAGCCATCTCCAGCACTTATCTCTACTCTTGTGTAGAGAATGAAACAAAAATCAAGTTTCGTCTCTAACCGTTCGCGCTACATTTTACTCTACATTCAATTTTTAATTTATTTTTATTTCAAATAAACTGTAATATATACGTATGATAATATTATATAATTTTTTTTACCTAAATAATAAAAATAATTTATTTTATCGAATTTTAATTATGTTATTTTTATTTGTGTATTTTATAATTTTTGTGTGTTGTAAACTTTTTATTTTAATAAAATCTATTTTTATTGTGGTATATTTTTATTAATATGTACTATTTTAATGATAAAAAAAATTGCAAAATAAAATTATAATACATAGTAAATAAAAAGCACAAAATTATTTAAAATCATAAATACATTTACTAATACACATTGTATAAAAGAAATTTACCAACAATATTACACCAAAATATATAAACATAAAAAATTACATTAAAATACAAAAAAAAAAAAAATATGTAGCGATAACTACAGTATTGCGCCAGTTCTGGCGCAATACTATTCACTCCTCAGTTCTGGCGCAATACTATTCACTCCTCTACCATCGCGCAAGTATATAGCGATGGGTTGGAGAAGTGATTTACTTCACTCTAGCGCAAATACACAAATCTGGCGCTGGTCTTAATATATGTTTTGTTTCTCTTTGTTAGTGTTTGTGCATGTTTTCGGTCTTTTCTCTCCCTTTCGGAGTGTGTTTTTTGTCGTCTCCCTTTGTGGAATATTTTCATCACCCTTGTGGAATTTTTTAGTCTTACAGGTGTGAGTGTTTTGTGGGTTTTGGCTTTTCTGACCATGAAAGGTCGTGTAGGGGAACACTTGTTGTGTTTTTCCTCGTTTGTTTCCTTTCTAGTGTAGTCTAGTAAAGGTTGCCAAGTGTAATCCATAGATTACTGGTTTGTACTTCGAGATGTGATAACTCAATTTGATGTTTGNGAAAAAAAAAAAAAAGAAAGAAAAAAGAAAAACTCGCATTGATGGTGCTGGGATGATGAGTCTAAACGGTGGGGTGATAAACAGTGTGATAAACAATAAATTTCAAATGACTAGGTTTCAAGAGTCGTTTAAAATCCTTCAAAGTAATAAGTAAAATCTATCTAGCATGAATTTGAAATTCTCCAACTTCTATTATCATCCCAACATGCACGGGATTGAATTTATAAATTTCAAATCTCTCAATACATCTATTAGACTAAAAGAATAGTAAGAATTGCCTTTGATCTTGTTGCACAAAGATATTCCTGATAAGCTGACATTCCAACACAAAAGGAAAATCTCCCAACACAAATAAAATAAATTACAAGAGCACATGGATTATATTGGAAGCCCATATCAGGTTCCAATCACCTTAGCTACTAAAGCACATTGTTATTCCTTCTTATATGCTTTCAAATCAACTCAAACCACAAAGCATATTTGGACACAATCAAAGAAACTAAAGAAAGTGCAGATATATCCCCATAAACTAAAATTTGCTAACCATCAAAATCAGACTACAAGCAGTCAAAAGAACTGAGTGCGTCTACTAAACAACATATATATTTGATAATTAGATCTTTCTAAGAACCTAAATGAAAAAGAAAAAAAAAAAAGAAGCATGAGCGATAGATGCTTTGTTATCCACACAACCAAACCAAACTGCTCTTATGCAACATAATCTTGTAATTTGTATGAAATCTAGGTAGCTCAAATTCATCAAATTCCCCCGTAACAAGATTGAAGATAAAAATCGTGCGCCGGAGCTTATCCGCAGAACTCAAGGCCAACACCTCCATGTACTTCACCCAACCAACCGGAACTACATCGGTTCGTAGTTTGAATAACGACGGACGTGTATTAACCTTGGTTGGCTGGATTAGACCAAGTTGCTTAAACCTGTGCCTCTGAGACTCGAGGCAAACACTGCCCATCTTTCTCCATTCCCCATTTTCCGGCCTCATCTCCCAAACTTGCCACAAAAATTCCCCACACGGACGCAATAGAGACAAGTACTTCCCAGTCGACAAATAAATATTCGTCTGGTCCTCGGAAATGCGTCGGCGGCTGGGCCTTAGGCCGGGAGTCTCTGTAAAGATTTCTGTCTCCACATTCAGAGTCAAGCCCATGTTGTTACTCACACAGAACCAATGTATGAAACCTTCTGTGATCGCCGGAGTAGACATGAATGCACGAGCAGCCTTCATCAACACCTGTCCCAAATCAACGGCCCTCCAAGACTTATCCACACCAACGGTTAATATATAACATTTTTCCTTAGTGAATGGCCCAGTATGAATAGGCAGAACCACTTTATACTCCATGGAAACTGAAGCATATGCTATTCCCCATACCTCAAAACTGTTGACCCCACCAACATATGGTGGCAGAACGAATATTTGCCCAGTCGCGGGATTCAAGACGTAGATATTATCCATGTTCTGCATTTCAAACTCCAACATCAAACCATTACAACTAGTAAGAGCCACGCAGCTACGTTGGCGCCTGAATTTGGATATTTCAGCCCGGCCTCGATTAGCGTGAATTAAGAATGAGTCGGTTTCGTCTTTTTTGGATCCTAAGATAAGCCCGTAAGTTGCGTGCTCCAGTTGTGCGTTAATGAAATCACAGTTGTGGATCATACGGTACCACTTTCGGCAGACGAGCCTTGCCTCGTAAATATCTTGGCCCGGGACGCGTGACAGGATTTCAAACAACAGCTCGTCCGGTAGAGACTCTAAGCTCGTCCGACTCTTCCTTTTGCAGCTCCTTAGATAATAATAAGTCCGAGTGGCTTGAGTGCTTTTGCCACCATCAATCTGCGTTTTAACATGATAATAACGGAATCAACGGATAATATGAACCCAACACACAAAAACGGCGATATGGGGAAAAAGATTCAAGCTTTACCTAAATGTATTCTCATTAATAATTTGAGTTAGATGTAAGAAACCTGCTCATCGGGTGGAACTACAACTTTGAGCGGTGGAACCTCTGTCTTCGATTCTTCGCTAATGTTCGCCGCTGGTAGATGGCGGGGGCGCGGCGGCTGGCGGATGATTGATGGTGGGATGTTGCCCATCGGGGAAAAGTTGATTGATTCGGTGGATATGATGCAGATATATATGATGGTCTATATAAGAAAATCAATTTTAGCATAATTATATTATTACCTTTTCTTTTTCCTACAATACTTACACTTATTTTATTTTAAATTTACCTCTTCCTACAAAATCAATTTCCTTTTCCTATAACAAAATCAATTTTAGCAGAATTATTATATTACACTTATTTCCTCGGGTGTGGCAGTTTTCTTGTGAACGGAGGTCAACTCAAAGAGGAAAGCAGATATCTGTGCATCTCCATAAGAGCAATGATAGAGAATTTTATGTAAGATTAATGACAAATGAGTATAACAAGTAATAAACTACATAGATCGTTTATTGAGGGCGCTTTCAATGAGCTCAATCCATAGTGAAATCGCAATTGCGGGTCGTCAGTAAGTTTACAATGTTATAAGAGATGATTCCACTCGCGGATGAGGTCGTCAGAGCGCTTAGTTGATTTTAACTTTTGTAGCTGGCAAGGGAGCTCGTCGTCAATCCAGTCAGGGGGAAGTCAAATGTATTCGGGCAGAGGTCAGATGAAGAAAAAATTTATTAGAAGGAAGGTCACAAAGAAAATTGGTCTTGTTTCGAGCAATGAGGTGAAAAGACCATTTTTGTGGTTTGAACCGGTACCAATAGAAGAAGAGGCTGGTGTTTAGCATCTGCAGGCGACGTCAGCTAAGGATCGAGCTCTGTCATCCCTCCAGTCTGGTGGTTCTTCAGCCGCCGGTTTTCGGCCACGTCCGTTCTGGCCATACGATGCCGTCGCCGGTCATTTTTACCAATCCACGAAATTGTCTGGCCATATCCGTGAGTTATGCTTTCTGTGCCGACTTTCAGACGTTCGGCCATGGGAGCTTTCAGATGTTCGGCCATGACGAGCTCTGCACGGCAGGCCTCAGCCCGCGTAGAAGACGGACTTCAATGCCCGCTTCATCTCGATCTCAGCGTTTGCTCGTCGCTAGCGCCGTAGAAAATTGAGCAGTCTCCTGCCGATTGCTTGTTTGTTGAGGCCAAGAGAAAAGGAAAAGGAAAAACGTGATTTATTTCTTAAAAGATCATGAAGAGTGTGTTAGTAATCTAATTACTAGTACGTACCCCGTGCGATGCACGGGAGAGAGATATTAAATTAATTATTTTCACAGGCTCTGTGCGTTTAAGTATGAGAATGGTTATCATCTATTTTCCACCTCTTCTAATCACTGTTAAGTCCCGTTTAAGTCTGAAAAGGGTTATCATACATTTTTCACCTCTTTTAATCACCGTTAAGTCTAAAAAAATAGGGTTGTAATCTATTTTTCACATCTTTTAATCAACGTTGTTTTATTAGTCAGAACATTAAACGTGAGCATGTTAGGGCTAACTTGTAAAATAATTAATACATTATCTCACTAACACATTTATACTAATATAAATTTAATTTTATTATATATATTTATTCCTTGATATAAGAGAAAATAACAATTTTACTTATTCTTGTTCACTATATAATAGTTAATTATTATTTTACTATAAACTCTGTTGCCATATAATGTCATTATTATTTATAAGGTTATAGAAGTTGCACGTCTTCTTGTTCTTTTTATTTTATGTAATAAATTATATTTAATGCACGTTAATATTATTTATATAAGTAATCAATTTAAAATATGTACATAAATTTAAAATTAAATAGTGTATAAATAATGTACAAAATATACACATATATTTTTTTCGAATTCTTATTATATATGTAGATTACAATTTTTGCGACACCAACCAAACTAAATATCACAACAACCAAGTAACAATTATGAAAAACCCATAACACAACAACTATCAATTAAATTTGGTAATAGAAAAATTACATACATATATATAAAAATATGAGGATTCTATATTTATATTAATTGATGTATACAACATGTGTATATTTTGTTAATGTATATTGGAATGTTCAATTTCATAGCGGAGCAAAAATCAGTCTTAAAAAATCAAAAATCTTATTGAAATGCCATATTTTTCTGTTAAAAAAAAAGTTCCCATCAAAAATAATTATATCATAGAAAATTCATTGTGTAATTGAACAAATTTCTATAATGAAGCCCGATTTTCTGTACAAAAATAAAGCAACAACTTCCACATTTTAAGGAAATCAATTAATGTTTGTCCGTTTTTGCTAAGAAAATAATACATAAATAAATTGTAATTAATGGAAAGTAATTAATGATGAGAGAATTTGACCATATAGTTGATCTACCATTTTTTAAAAATAGTAATTCTTATTTTATATATATATATATATAGATAAATAAATCAGTTAAATAAAATATTAATACCAAAATAGTAATGGCATTTAATGCAGTTGACTTTTCTGGATACTAAATATAGTAAATAGGATCCCTTTTTATATAATTATAGATATGGATGTGAAGATATGATAAAATGTATCCAAAAAGATTGTTTTTTTTTTTAAATATTTGGATTTAATTTTTTCAAAAATTTTCGAACACAATTAGGCTAGATATTTCGATTTTTTTTAAAAAAAAATACTTATTTTAGTAATTGTAAATGTTTAAGCGTGAATTTAAATTATTTTTTAGTTCCTATTTCAGGATTTTTTGTGTTCTCTCTTTATATTCTCTTTATATAATAATAGATAGATTTTATTTTTATTTCAACTCTTAAAATATATTAGAAAGATAATGTATCTTTCTAATTATTTTCTATATCTTTTTTGTCGCATATGTTAATCTACTAATTTTAAAGATTTATATTACATTTTTTTTTTGTCTCACATACTAATTTACTAATTTTAAAGATTTATATCACATAAATTTTTTACTTTATTATATTCTAAATTGGGGGCTCTTTGCACGCTAGTTATAATTTAAAAAACAATATATTATTTAATATAAGTTTAATAAGATAAATATATAATTTGTTATGTAAGAATTTGTAAGGCTAAATATTTGCTAATCGATTATATTTCAAAGATGTGAGGTTAGATTTTTGTCCTGAAGAATAGCTCCTGAAGAAGACTTTTGTCCCAACTATCTCTCCCCACTGCTTTTAATTGATTAACAGTTTTCAAATGACAGGTAACTCCTCTCTTCAACTTAGTACTACCTGAATGATGATTTGGGATCCAGGGATCAGTGATAATGTTTGTTGAAACTCCATCCTTCACCTGTATTCTGAAATGCTGCTGGTACTTATCCTTAAATCTCATCCAGTTCATCCACAGCCATGAAGCAGAAGTACTCTTTTTCACTGTAAGTATGCTTACTTACAGGCTTGAAAGTTAAAATGAGTACTAAGATTAAAATATATCGCTTTGAAATTCTTAATCTTCTCCATACAATAATCGGCTATCCAGCATCCATCATCGACCTCTTTTATCATCCATGCTATACGCCACGAAAAAAATTATTTTCTTAAATCCTTTTTAAAGAAATAATATATTACAGAAGAACGAACCATGTTTTTTTATTTTTTAAAATCAAATAATTCTTTTTATTGGTCCAACTTCAAAACAATTGAAGCACACGAACCATTGCGTCCATCGGCAACCACTGTCCACTTGTCGATGGCGAGTAGAGATCCGTTTATGGCATGTGAATGTCGAAGTTGAAACTGGCCTTAACAGCATCGACTCATTTTAGGCAGCGCGAGTGCATGCATGCTCTAAACAACAAATAAATAGTAGCGCAAAGGTGCAAACCAGTTAGAACTCTCTGTCGCTGTGGCCTTGGAGATGCAGTTATAAAGTGGCTCAACATGTTGACTTCCATCTAATTGCACCCCAATGAAATATTTCACTTCTCCCTATTTAAACAGATAGTAAATAAGCAATTAGGAATCCATCATCTTGTTACCATTTAGAAACAAAATTAGATGCAAGATAGTAAATAAGCAATGCCACTTAGAAACAAAATCAGATGCAAGATAGTAAATAAGCAATAAGAATCCATAATCTTGTTACCACTTATAAACAATATCAGATGCAAGATAGTAAATAAGCAATTAGGAATCCATAATCTTGTTACCACTTATAAACAACTAGTACAGATCCCGTGCGATGCACGGGGTGCACAAAATTAAGACTATTTATCAAGTCTTATAATTATATAAATGAATAAAAAAAAATGTACGGGATATATATAGTACGTGACCTGTAATAGGCCAAAATGTGAACACGGGTGATGCACGGGGTGCACAATTTTTAGGTCATTATTAGTACAGAGTCCGTGCGATGCACGGGGTGCATAATTTTCTAGTATGTGTAATACAAATACATACCGTATGCACGGGACAGAAGTACTAAATGAGTTATTTTCACATAGTTGCCCGTTAAGTAGCTCCTGAAACGGGTGCACAATTTGTAGTACGTACTATAAAATCAGAACAGATTTTCATACATTTAGATAATAAATTAGATAATAAATAAAGCCTTTTTTATGTTAGTAAAGATTTTACGTACTTTTTTTTTTACTTATCGGATGTTATGGATTTTTTTTGTTAAACCGATTTTATGGGATATGATACAAATACAATCAGAGGATTGAACAAAATCAGAACAAATTTCTATACAATTAGATAATAAGAAGGAATTACATAAGGAAAAGAAGAAATTAGATAAAGAATTTTGAATCTACCTTTTTTAAGTATAGATAGACTTTACGTACAAATTTTGACTTCACCGATTTTATGAGATTTGTTTTGACAAAATCAAAGATGAATACTGAAGACTGTTTTTATTAACATTTACAATGTGTATTTAATGTTTTTTTTTGGAAAAATATTCTTTTTAAGTGTGATATATAAATATTAAAAATACTTAAAATATTTTATAACATCTATAAAAGCATCTAAAATATTCTATATTATTCACAAATAATGTTTGAAACTACCTAATAATGTTCGGAGAGCTTCATTAATTTAAAAGTGTAAAATAAATAAATAAATAAATGTACAACTGAAAAAGTTACAACCAATTGTATGGAGAATTAAACTAAATCTAATTTTGTAGGATACATTAAATATTGATTAGATTAAATTTTATATGTAAAATAAAATAAAAAAATAACTGGAATAGTTTTACGTGTTGCAATATTTTATATTTAAAAAAATTAAAAAATCTTCTTTTACGTATTGCATACCAACATTTTAGGAACTACATGGATATTCCTAAATTAATATTGCATATCCAATATTTTAGGAATTAATTAAATGTTAATTTGATTTGCATACTAAAAATATTAGATGCATTAATTAAATGATTGATAAAAATAGCAAATCATTAATTAAGGTTGACTATTCTACATACTACATTTAGTAAATAATATAGCTTTTAATATAAGTATAGATATCAGATGCAAGAAAACTAAACTAACCTGACCCCATTACACATACCTTTTGATCACCCGCATATGCTGCAGCTGCAATGGAACAAATTCCAAAAATTTTTGCATGTTATATCAATATGGAGCAGCATGATATTAGAAAAGTTGGCAGGATATCATAAACAAATGCATAATCTCATATCAACTATCGTTTAGATTATCAACGGTTAATTTTTCATGCTCTCTAATAAAGAACTATGGTCGTCAATTTTTCGTACTAACTTATACGTTCATGAAACTAATTTATCAAGTCTGTGAAGCTTACCGCTTTTTGTGTAGTTGATGAGCTGGACAATTACCTCCGTCTGAGTATCAATGGCATGTGGTATTTTCCTAACAGTAGCAGTATCAATTTCAAGACCCTGAAAAAATCTGCAAAAAATGCACAATCATAAAAGCTTCCTAGGAACCATTAAGATTCCACCTTCGAGGTCAACATTTTATGCTTCAATAAACTTCCCATACGGCGACTTGTCCAAACAATTTGATGTCCATTCAAGCAATCTAAAAGCTTATTGCACAAGTAAAATAATGAACAGACATGGAAACAAAACATCAGAAGCAAAAAATATTTCCCTCCTTACCTATAATTCCTTCCCGAGATCTATTCTCATTTGTACTTTGTTAACTCCAAGAAACTATCCGAAGCAAATATCTTTTATCTGTTCACATCATCAGAAGGACCAAAAATTGTCATCACAAAAAGACAACAGCGAAAAACCTTCCTCAAAAAATCCTCAATTAAATCGAAATCAGTAAGGTGCCTAAAGCAACCATACTTTTTCAACAGACATTGTATTCTCAAATTGAAACGTCAAACTCTGAAATTAACATAAACAAAAGTAAGCAATTCACAACATAAGTACGGGTCGACTCTTTAGGCCATCCTCCCACAAAGAATTCGTGATTAGGAATATACTTAGAATAGGATTGTCCGATACTTTAAAGAAACTACCAAAAAACCCTAATTGCATAACATAACCTAGATATTCAAAAATTACCCATGAAGACAGCCGAAAACTGAAGCTATGTGTACAACCAGAATTCACTATAATGAAAATCTTCCTAATTATCAAGGCTTAAAAACCTAATTTTATTCACCCAAGTGCTAATTTTTTTAGTTTTTTTTTAAGAAAAAAAAAAAGGAACCTCCGACTCATAAAACCTTAGCAGCACACGCACACTCACGCACCTTTCTTTATGGTTTCCGTAGCCTTCTCCGCCACGTTCTCTTTCAACGGCCAAATCCACCTTTTAAGCTTTTTTTTTTTTCCACAATTGAAAACTATGAGAAAAAACTGACCATTGATCTGTAAATAAGCTTTAAGAATGAAGGATCCCTAATATTTTTTGCAGTTGAGAGACAACAACCTATGCATTAACACCAACTCGTGTGTATTCCCAATACCACTTTCTTCATCCTCCAGCAACAACAAATTCGGCCCAAAATCACTAAACACTATAATAGTTGAAAAAATAAAAACAAACTACCCCAGTGACAATAGTAACAAATGATTTTGATAGTACAAACTACCCCAGTGACAGTAGTTATGCTCTGCCCTGCAGTATATCCGTATAGAGGGTCTTACGGTAAATTCGTCGGCCACAAGGTGCAAATGGTCGACGAAACAAAAAAAGGAACATAGATGTTATATTTATTTCATTATTTATGAAAATATTCGAATCTCAAAATTAATATAAGCTTGAAAAAAAAACACATACCCTGCGGCCGAGGAAAAGACTCGTTGAATCTACACAGAAAATGTTGAGAGCAATTTATCAACAGTATTCACTTTTCACATTTCATGCTCAAGAATAGCAACAAATGAATGCATCTCAAATGAATTCATAATTCAAGAAAAAGTGGATGTCTGTCAAAATGAACAGTGTACTAATCAACCTAAAAAGTATGCAGACCAACCAAAAAAACCAACACAACCTGTGTGTTTGTTTATCAAATATCTCAATTCAAAATAATTCATCCTCAAAATCTAGCTCAACTTTAACTTAACCCCTACTATCCTCAATATTATCAATATAATTAAATAATATCAATCAAACATTCACACATCAACTTTAATTTATTATTCTTCCACTCACATAATTTTAACTAACTATCACTTCATATCATCTCCCTCCTACTTTTACATCAAATCAAATTTAATTATTTTATTTTAAATATTAGTCTAATATAAAATTAAAATTCCACTAACAACTACCCAAACCACTTTAAAAATATATATATATATATTTTACAAAAATACCATACTAAAAACATTTTATTTAGAAAAATAAAGATTTCATATTTTCGCACATCCATCAAAAGGCAAAGTCCATCTAAAGAACATGCAGATGACAATATTTAGATAAAATAATAATAATACTCACCTAGAAGTCCATTATTTGACGGCACAAGAACTAATTGTAGTTTGTGTGGTTTGTAAATATCACAAAGACGGCTTTAAGGAGGATGAAGAAAACGAAACAAAAATCAAAGTCGGGGCACGTAATAATTATGTTCTCCTTAAGACGAAATTGCTATGTTCTCCTTCAGACGAAATTGCTCCGTAAAATATTTACACCCACGGTTATGTAAACGGCTCCAAGATACAACGACTTTCGACTTGTATATAGCGGTACTTCAGATATAGAAGCTTTCGGCGTTGTTTGGAACTCTCAAGACTCAACGAAAAAATCAAATAACACAATACGTTTTATGAACTTTGAAAATGTAATGCAAGACAGCAAGAGTCATACTCGTAGACACGAAGTCAACGGTACGATAAACAGTGAATTTTAAATAACTAAGTTTCAGTAGTCGTTTAAAATCCTTCAAAATAATGAGTAAATCTATCTAGCACGAACTTAAAATTCTTCAACTTCTAATATCATATCAACACGCACGGGGATTTGAATTTGTAAATTTCAAACCTCTCACCTCTCAATAAATCTGTTAGTTTGAAAGAATACTAGGAATTACCTATGATCTTGTTGCACAAAGATATTCTTGATTACGCTAAAATTTAAACACAAAAGGAAAATCTCCCAACACAAATAAAATAAATTACAAGAGCTCATGGATCATACTGGAAGCCAATATCAAGTTCCAATCACCTTAGCTACTAAAGCACATTGTTATCCCTTCTTCTAAATATGCTTCCTCTGCACATTTCCCTGTTTATGAGCACGAAGCCCATATCAAGATGACCAACAAAGGTTCTTCATAAGTATGTAAAATAAACTAAAACCACAAAGCGTATTTGGACAAAACCAAAGAAACTAAAGAAAGTGTAGAAATATCCTGATAAACTAAATTTGCTAACCATCAAAATCAGACTACAATCAGTCAAAAGAACGAGCGGCACGTCTACTAAATATATATTTGATAATTAGATCTTTCTAAGAACCTAAATGGTAAAAAATGAAGCATGCGCGATACCAACAAAATAGATTTAGACAATTCTCTCAATGCTTTCTTATCCACACAACCAAACCAAACTGCTCTGATGCAACATAATCGTGTAATTTATACGAAAGGCAGGTAGCTCAAATTCATCAAATTCCCTCGTCACAAGATTGAAGATAAAAATCTTGGGCCGGATCTTATCCGCAGCACTCAAGGCCAACACCTCCATGTACTTCACCCAACCAACCGGAACTACATCGGTTTTATGTTTGAATAACAACGGACGTGTATTAACCTCGGTTGGCTGGATTTGACCAAGTCGCTTAAACCTGCGCCTCTGAGACTCCAGGCAAACACTGCCCATCTTTCTCCATTCCCCATTTTCTGGCCTCATTTCCCAAACTTGCCACGAAAATTCCCCACACGGACGCAATAGAGACAAGTACTTCCCAGTCGACAAATAAATATTCGTCTGGTCCTCGGAAATGCGTCGGCGGCTGGGCCTTAGGCCAGGAGTCTCTGTAAAGATTTCTGTCTCCACATTCAGAGTCAAGCCCAAGTTGCTACGCACACAGAACCAATGTATGAAACCTTCTGTGATCACCGGAGTAGACCGGAATGCACGAGTAGCCTCGCTCGACAGGTGTCTCAAATCAACGGCCCTCCAAGACTTATCCACACCAACGGTTAATATATAACATCTTTCCTTACTGATCCACCCAGTACGAATAGGCAGAACCACTTTATATTCCATGGAAACTGAAGCATATGCTATTCCCCATAGCTGAAAACTGCTGACCCCACCAACATAAGGTGGCAGAACGAATATTTGCCCGGTCTCGGGATTCGAGACGTAGATATTATCCATGTTCTGATTTTCATACTCCAACATCAAACCATTACAACTAGTAAGAGCCACGCAACTACGTTGGCACCTGAATTTGGATATTTCAGCCCGGCCTCGATTAGCGTGGATTAAGAATGAGTCGGTTTCGTGTTTTTTGGATCTTAAGAGAAGCCCGTAAGTTGCGTGCCCCAGTTGTGCGTTGATGAAATTACGGTTGTGGATTGTACGGTACCAGTGTACCACTTTCGGCAGACGAGCCTTGCCTCATAAATATCTTGGCCAGGGACGCGTGAGAGGATTTCAAACAACAGCTCGTCCGGTAGAGACTCTAAGCTCGTTGGGTAATAATAAGTCCGAGTGGCTTGAGTGCTTTTGCCACCATCAATCTAAGTTTTTACATACACACCATCAATTTGCACTTTACTCTGTTAGTTTCTTCAAATGGACATCGACACAGTAAAGAAAAAACAAGGATATATTGTAGGGGAATTGGAACTTTACCTAAACCCTTCTACTTTAACCACAAAAAAAAATAAAATAAAAAAAAAGGTTCTAATTAATGTCCAAATTTGAACAGATTATATGAACCCAGCACACAAAAGCGGCGATATGGGGAAAAAGATTGAAGCTTTACCTAAATGTATAGTATTCTCATTAATAATTTGAGTTAGATGTAAGAAACCTGGTCATCGGGTGGAACTAGAAATTTGAGCGGCGGGACCTCTGCCTTCGATTCTTCTTCCCTAATGTCCGCCGCTGGTAGACGGCGGGGGCGCGGCGGCTGGCGGATGACTGATGGTGGGATGTTGCCCATCGGGGAAAAGTTAAACTAATTCGGTGGATATGATGCAGATAAATCAATTTTAGCATAATTATATTATCTTTTCCTTTTCCTACCAAATTTATACTTATTTTATTTTAAATTTACCTTTTCCTACAAAATCAATTTCCTTTTCCTAAAACAAAATCAACATTAGCAAATTTATATTACACTTATTTCCTCTGTCAGTTTTCTTGCGGGCGGAGGTCAACTCAGCGAGGGAAGCAGACAACAGTGCAACTACATAAGAGCAATGATAAGGAATTTTACGTAAGGATTATTGACAAATGAGTAAAACAGGTAATAAACTACATAGATCGTCTATCGAGGGCGCTTTCAATGAAGTCAATGCATAGTGGGATAGCAATTGCGGGTGGTCAGTAAGTTTACTAATATTATTCGCAGAAGGTCGGATAAAGATAAATTTAATATCCCAGGTCGAGACATTGGAAGGAAGGTCACGAAGAAAGTTGGCCTTGTTTCAAGGAGAGAGGTAAAAAGACCCTTTATGTGGTTTGTATCGGTACCAATAAAAGAAGAGGTCGGCATTTAGCATTTGTAGGCGACGTCAGCTAAAGATTGCAAATCCGACCATAAAACGGATAGAGGTAGGAGTGACATGGTTTAAAAGAATCCTATAAAGTCGGCTTAGTTGTATTAGGTCCTCTTGGAGAGAAAATTTGAGGTTGCCAATAATTTGGTCCATGAAGAAAGCTTAGAAGCCTGGAGGGGGCTGGTCGAAGGATTCGCCAAACTGGGGGCTCGAAATTTCCAAGAACGGGATAGCTCGTATTGATGGATGAAGTAAGTTATTTGGTCATCTGTGAAGAAGGACAAGGGATGGGGTTTGACAAGCTTGACTAGGTCGAACACTACATAAGCTTTCTTTCTCTTGACTACAGTGATTCGATTTTTTCGTTTGTTTAGCTCGGTGCGGGTGATCGGGATGGCTTCAGGTGGAGTTGATTGCTCAGGTTGCCAGTGGTAGTTATCCACTATGGAATCAAGCACATCTAAGGGGATAATTCTAGATGGTTCATTTCCTGGACGAGGTACTGACTTGATAGAAATGTTTGGGGTATGTAAAATACGCACTTTTTTTTCTAGGGAATAGTAGATCGAAGAAGCGAAAGCATGATCGATGGCGTTTGAACGAAATCAGAAAATTTGACATTGAATTTTTTGGAGAATCAAGACCAAAAGGCAAGGGAAAATATTTAAGGAGTAGCAAATTTTACACTAAGAAAAAATAGGAGAAAAGAAGTAAAAAAAATTATGGCATTACATGATTTAAGATAGGGATAACATGCCCATGAATTCCGAATATAGTAGAGAAGATAGCTGGATGGTGGGTATAGACGTCGGATGTATGGTTGGATCGCCGGAGTTGCTTTGCACAGGCGAGCTCAGTGAACATAAAGGGCGGAAAATCACTATAAAGGGAACAACCGCTTTTTATTGGGGAATAAAGGATGAGTTGATGGGTTAGTTGCACTTTGATCCAAGCGTGTAAAGGAGATGAGACGTGTCTGACGTTTCGCGTCCCCTGAGGTCGGCTGGCAGTGCATTTAATGCAAAAGGGATAAGTTTGAAGGATAAAGTTTAAGATATTTCATAAGTCATCGCATCCCGTTCAAAAATCGGTGGGATAGAAGATATAGCACCCTTATTAGCGCAGTGAACCGATCTGGGTGGTGAGCTCGGGTCGACCGATTCAGGAGGGCTTCAGCTATATGTCAAGGCTTGGCTTCGTCAGGGAGCTCGATGTGGTAGCTCTGGATGCGTCGATAAAATCATAAAAGTTATAAGGATATATCGTCTCGAATGTTAACCTATGGAAGTAGATGTTAATCAACTAAACAATGGTCAGCACTATAACCATTAAACTCATTTTAATTCCTAATTTTTTAATATATTCTCTCTCATATCATGTTTATAATTTTTTTTAAACTTACCCACAAGTTATTCAAATATACAAATCAGGACATTACCATTTTATATTTAATTGAAAAGATATGCAATGAATTAGTTGTAGTAAAAATAGAATGTTCATTTATTTTATTTTCATTTTAATTCTTTAAAATATATTAGAAAGATCATGTAATGTTCTATAACTATTTCAATGTGTTTTTATAGACATTCTATAAAAGTTTAAATATTTATTTACCATAGTTGAATTGAAAAAATATAATATAGAAGGGGCTAAAAAATATAATATAGAAGGGGCTATATATGTGTCCAATTTATTTTTGTAATATTATAGTATTAATAGTTTTTTATTTAATTTAAACAATATAAAAATAATTATTTACATAGAGTATACAAATAAAATAACATATAAGATTTTGTAATTTCGGAAAGAAACAAGGCTATCCCAACAAATTGATTGTGAAAGAAGACAAAGGTTATGGGAAGCGAGTTCGGTGCGTGTGTCTATTTTAACGAAAATGCCACTAAATTGGACCTTTGTATTTTATCAATAAATAATTTTGACAAATATAGTTTGAATCTCAATCAAAAATTTATTAGGTACATAAAATAACTAGCACTAATTTTGACATCTGTATATGATCATAAATTTGAATCTCAAATATAAGATTAATTGAACGACGTCATATAAAATATCCCCATTAAAATATCAATGTAGACAAAAGCAAATAACACCACAATGTGATCGAATCGCGTTTTGTCAGCAATTATTAATTCTTGCATTATATAAGCTACATGAAGATATGGCCACAGGTCACCCCGGCCCGGCTAGGCCCATGATCAACGGACCCAAGCTTGGCCCGAATCTTAACCAAGCCGGATTAAGGTCGACCATTTCGAACATACGGGTTGGCACAATCCGAGAAAAATTAATGATTTTTAATTTTTTTTAGGATGGGTCCGGGAGGGTTGAACTTGACCCGACCAGTACTTAGGTACAGACCACTTCAGAGTCATAAATTTTTAACATGGTGATTCGGCCTCGCCCGGCCCAGAATTTGGCCATGTCTAACTACATATTAGATACTTATAACATTAAATTTATATTAAATACTATATTATTTGTTGGCGGTAGGCCACTAAGGTTATGTGATGTATATATTTAAGGCAACAAAATCAAAGTTATTCGTTAATGTTACGGTTTTATAGAGTTAATTTGGTAATGGGATAATAGAAATTCTGGAAAGTAAATCTGCACCCATTTCGCTGGCACGAAAATAGACTCACCGAGGAGATTTAGATCTCTGAGCCTATTTAATTAATAAATATGTTTACAAGTGTGACTCATGGCCCGTAAACAAATAAATCGATAGTTTATGACTGATTTTTTAGGATGTATAAGGGGCAGTGAGATGTTCTTATCTTCTCTCCTATTTTCTCTCTTTTTCTTCCTTGGACTTGCCCGCCCTAATATCTGCAGAAGGTCGGATTTTATAGCTAAAATTAGAGTTTTGGCAGTATGTGGCGCCCATGCAAAAGCTGATGGGACACGTTGGGTGGTGCTGCTAGCTTTTTCAGAACGAACACATGTGGTTAGAGTGATTCACAATCTTCCTCGAGAAGCCACTTACGAGTGATCGCTACACCGACCGGTCGATCAGTAGCCCTAGCAGTATGCGGATAGCCTTATGAAGGGCGACCTTCAGTGATCTTTGGGCTTGGTCTACAAACTTGGGCCGAGCGTAATATTTGGGTCACTTCATTTAATGTGATCGAAATTTTTAGGGGTACACATTATTTTTTAAATAATAATTTTACTAATAAATTAATAATGTGTATATTTTTATTAAAAATATATATATATCAAACAACTCTGCAGTTTGGACTTTTCATCAAGCAACTAATAAACCCCACTTATTTATGCACACACTATATATATGCACATACTACTAGTGGAGCTCCAATTTTGTTCCCTTTGAGTAATCAATTTCTTCACGCTTGAACGGCCAACAATGGCTTCGTCAACAGCTCTCAAGAGATGGCTCCGGCCCGAGGTCAGCCCTAGATCTTTCCTTTTTCTCGTTCTAATCATTATTTCGCGGCGTTTTCTCGTATGGGTCTGTTTGTGAACCGACCGCATCTGATTTGTCTTTTGTGTGTATTTTTAGGTGTACCCTTTGTTCGCTGCCGTCGGAGTCGCCGTGGGGATTTGCGGGATGCAGTTGATCCGTAACATTAGCACTAATCCTGAAGTCAGGTTTATTGACCTAAGAATTTGTTGATTTGCCTTTTGCTTTGTATGTAGTCCATAATTTTAGTGGGGTTTTATTGCAATTGAACAGTAGATCTGTGCAGGGAATTGTAGATTAAAGGCATTAGTAAAGTTGGATGTTTTAAATTCTTAATTCCAATTTCAAGAGGTTTTTAATTTTTCTTTACTGTTTCATTGCTGTATTACATACCTCATGGATGCGGCCATAGTATAAAACGTCAAAAAATTCTTTTTCTTTTTAATTTTATAAAACTATAATCATTACAGGACATAATTCATAGGTTGTTGCTGATAATGTCACTGTTGGAGCTTAATAAATTCGAAGTTTTAATTGTTTTGATCCATGTCAAATTTTCTCTGATTCATGTTTCCAATTTCGTGGGACTTTTAAACTTCTTTTCTATTTCATTGCTGCAATACATTATACATGCCTCAAGGATTTGGCTTACTAATCCGTTAGGTTGAGGTAATATAAAATGTCAAAAAATTGTTATAGTGTCACACGACTATAACTATTACAAGCTGTAATTAGTTGTAGCTTGTTATTCTTTCATGATACTCTATTGCATTGCTGATAATGTCGATTGTTGAAGTTTAATAAGCCAAAGAGTACACAACTGACAATAAGGAAAAAAGTGGGCATTTCAACTGTTAGTCCCTTGAAAGAAAAGTGTGTTTGGTTCTTAGAAGTTAAATATGGCTTATGATAGAATAACAGTCGAGTAGAATGCAAAATGTATAGAAAAAAAGTGTGTGGTTCCTAGAAGTTAGTTATGTATGGCTTATGAGAATAAAAATTCGAATAAAATGCAGACAATTATGATGTATATGTTTCATGTCTCTTATATCTTTTCTTTTATGTTGAATGTAAGTAATAAGCCCAGCTATATATAATCAATTTTGAGCCCAGCTATATATAATCAATTTTGAATGACAAACTTGTTCTTGTGGGTGCAAAACGTAGGGTGACCAAGGAAAACAGAGCTGCTGGTGTTTTGGATAACTTTGCAGAAGGGGAAAAATATGCCGAACACGCTCTTAGGAAGTTTGTTCGCAAAAGGGCACCCGAAATCATGCCATCCATTAATAACTTCTTTAGCGACCCTAACTATTGAATTGTTAAAGATTTGATGATTGTCTCCGGCGAAAAGTAGTGATATGATTCGAGACTTGCATTTTTTTTCACTCTGGTGTGGGGATCAGTGGCTTGCATAAAGTTTGATGTAACTTTATGGGTGGGATTGGCATTTAGCTGTGCTAACAAACAATATGATTTTTTTTTAAAATGATTTTTCCCCTAAGATCTGGAAGATGAATTTTGAATATTGAAGCTGTTGCTTATTGTTATTGTTGGTTTGATTATGGCTTTCCGTGGATGCATCATGAATTGCTATTTTTATATTGTTGATTTCAGGTATTTGGGGTTGTGATATATGGATAAATATGCCAGCAATACTTTTTTTAACATTCGGTTTTTCTTCTCTTCTAACAAATATATATACGTCATAATAAAATATCATACTTTCACGCTCTTTTAACAACAGATAGTTCTTGTGTTAGTATGGTCTAATCATATGGCTTACGTATTTCATTTGAGAATGTATAGATTTGATAGTATAACTATACATTTTTGTTATATAATATTAAAAGAGCAGATAGTTCTTGTGTTAGTATGGTCTAATCATAAGGCTCACGTATTTCATTTGAGAATGTATAGATTTGATAGTATAACTATACATTTTTGTTATACATTTTTATCACCATTTAAATTCCCTTGATGATTAACGTTGAAAGGAAGAATTTTATCAAATTACCAAGTATATATGATGCTATAATTAACTAGCTCGCGCATTTCCAATTCTAAATAATATCAAGCTGTTTTATAAACATCAACTTTGACTATCATATTCTATCCAAGCTGTTTTTAAATAGAAAGATTGTCCAGAGGACAGTTTTTAATCACCATGCATCAAGTGACACAAAATCCTAGTTATCAATATCATAGACAAAACAAATAGAACGCCGCAAACTTGTAACTAAAAATTCACCTGATATAACACAAAATTCTAGTTTTGACAGACAAAAAGACCAAAGTGCTGCAGATTTGTATCCAAAAATCACGAGCACAACATGTTTGTAGTGTGCAAGATATGCTTATTAGTTATTCCTCAAAAGCTAGTACCAGATTTAGAGGAATGTGCCTATTCAAGCAGTATATCAACAGAAAAATATACAAAGGAAAAACAAACATTTGGCTCCAATCTCACAAGAAAATGGATGTATAGAGCTGAACGTGGATTATGAACCCGGACCAGGGTTTGTCTCCTGTTTATTCTCAGCTTCGACATGCCATGTTTTCCAAGCTTCAGCATAATGTTGGAAAAGCTCATAAATGGCTGCCACAATATTTGATTAAAACTTCAATCTTCTATTAGCTTGCAATACTTGTGAAAATAGAACAGCATACCAATACATTTCTATCCATGTTGTTTAAGTCTTATCCTGTAAACAACGATCAGTTCAGTTACGAAACAAATATAGACAAAAGATTACACAAACATGGAGATCATGTATTGACAACATTTGCATACAGATTCAAAGCCCAATAAAACATTGGTACATAAAATTTTGCTATGGTGAGTACAATTTTCACTTTTTTTGGTAAATATGACAGTGAGCATTACAAGATGAATCAACAAAACTGTGCATGTGGAGTTACAACCTAAAGGAGACATATTCACCTCAAATCATTTCTCATCACGAATCATTTTCACAACATTTAACCGAAAAGTTTGGTAGTACCTCGATTGGAATACTTGGGTTGGGAAGCAAAAGGGAGACTCTCCTGGTCTTGAATTCGCCCGCTATTTCTGTTTCCATGATCTGCTGAGGTGGCTGCATTTGGAGTGAAGGGACCAAACACAAAACTCTTTTGGCTATTTTTCTGGAGTTGCTGAGTTGGTGAACCATCATTTGCACCTTTTAGTTTGTGTTTGTCTTTCGAACAGTTCCCCTTATTGACTGAATCATTCAGTTTCCAGGCAAACGAGGCATTAGTATTGCTTCTTTTAACCAATGTATTTGTGATGTCGTCCCCAAATACTCTCCTTTTGGAATTTTTAACATCTAGTGAAATAGAAGATCCATGTGCACGGTCTCTTCCCATGCCTATCCACCGAAATGCTGGTTTTCCACTATCAACATCACGGGTCTGTAAAATTGCAAATGTCATTGAAAAAAAGAAAAAAAAATAATTTCCAGATTAACCAGTGAGAGTAAAATACAGATAGACTAAGATGAAGCTAAGCTATCAAATCATACAAGGTAGTAATAATAGTTCAATAATAAGACTCCTTCAAGGTACTAATGACATAAAAATTGCATTGCACTAAGAAAACCCAACTACAAGAAACTACTTACATAAAAAATTGTCCCCAATAATTATCCCCTATTTTTTTCTTGTTTCAAGTCAGTGTTTGATGCAAAACAAACTAAACTCTTCAATGAATTCCCTAGATGGACTTAGAGTTTGGAATAAAAAGTAAACAAACTTACCTTTTCAAGAAGTCCCATTGATGAAAACACATTTGCAATATCATACAAGCGCCTGACCTTTGCTGAAGAAGTAACCCAAAATTAATATAAGAGAGATATACGTATCTCGCATATTCACCATAATGAAGCTCAAAACAATGAAGGTTTCATTACTTCTCATAGCCTTTGCGTCATGAACATTCCCTAGCAAAGCTAATGAAGCACGATCGAGTGATATTAAGTCCACCTGAAGATAGACAAACATACGGGGCATTAATCAACTAGCTTGCTTGATCTTTCATACCCTACGTTGATGCATTACTTACATCAGAACAAAGGAAAAGCTTCACAAAATTCTGAGCCAGCAAAGCCAATGATTTTTCCCTCTTGTGTTCTATAAAATCAATGAACAAAGATCCAGTTCAAGCTGATGTCCATCATTGGATAAAGTAAATGAAACACCAGTTCACCATCATAAAGTGTAATATAGACATTCAAAATTGGACAATCATATATGTAAAGCATTCGCCCACCTTTGTCTGATTCAGGATATTTGTCCTGCCCTTCAGTCTTTGACTGAGATGGTTGTCCACATTCTTCCTTGTTTGGGACCTTGCAAAGAGAAATCTATACAGTTAGTTTGCATTGATACACTCCTCACTACAGAACTCAAAACTTCTATTCTCTCAGCATGTCAACAATATGAATGATTTCCTAGGCAGTAAAAAAAACCCAAACTCAACACGATAAAATCCAGAAGAGTACATCAGAAATATAGGCACCAAACTCTTCTTTCACTCCCTGATCCTGCAAAACAATTAATACAGAATAAATCCAGCTGTTCCAAGATTTAGGCCAACTTTTCGAAACTTTTCGCACAACACAGCCAATCAAAAGAAAAAGAAAACGAAACAAACGGCCACCTTAAGGAACTTCAAAGCCTCAGGTATAGCACCAAAACCTTTCCAAGTGTACTGACTCTTACCCTTCCTCTCCAAAACCTGATTTCACAACTTTTTTTTACAGGATTGGTTAATTATTTCCAAATTCATTACACTAACAGATATGAAATTTACCCAGAGGCTCTCCAATATATTTATAATATCATATATTCTTCGCCGTTCAACACCTGATCACAATGTTAAAGAAACCAACAAAATCAGCTTCAACTCCATGTGGAATAAAAAAAAGCTCGAGCTAACGGCCAAGGAACATACCCAGCTGAGAAGCGGCATCGTCCAACCCAATCGACTCTACACCATCGCGATTGTACAACCTCAGGAAGCTGCAGAAAAAAAAAAATAAAAAAAATAATAAATAAATAAATCAATCGAGTCAACTGTTGTAGATCAAGCCCTCAGCGTGCTCTGTTATTCAGATGTGGTGCTGAAAATTTTCGATTTACTTGGTGCATAAGAGGCCGAGAGATTTCTCCTTGCGACAGTACAATGGATCTTTAACGCGAGAGTCGCGGGAAGCCATTTCAGTGTATTGATTTAGGGATTTAGAATTCGGGGATTTGGGGTTTATGGAATGAAAGGGAATTCTACTGTACGTTCGTGCGTGCGTGCCGAGACGCGGGAATTGGCCTTTCTGTTTCTTCTTTTTCTTTTTCCCTTCCTTTTTTCTCCTTCTTTATTATCACCTTTTTCAATTTTACTCCTTTGTTAGTTTTCTGCTTTCACCCTATGATCAGTCAATTAATTATTGTACATATTTCAAAATATATTAGTATTTGATCATGTGCACATACACAGTTACACATTGCACATACACAGTTACACATGTAAAGAGAGGAATAAAATTTTATATTTTATATGTACGTATATGATATTTAAAAATTTAAATTAGATAAAGTGTCTAGTATATTTTAAATTTAAAATTTTGACTATATGTACATGTATAATATAAATATAAATTATTTAACATCCATATAAATCAATTTTTTATTGTATAATTATAATAAAAAATAGGAATATTAGTAAAATTAATAATTTAATATTATATATTCAGAAAATTTAAAATCTTGTAAAGTTGTTACAGAGTAAAAAATTAATAACAATAAGGTTTTACTTGTGTAACTGTTATTTGAATGGTAGTCATAAAGATTTTATTAAATGTTGAACATATTTTTATTAAATGAACTCCTATTTTAATTAAATGAACTCATATTATTATTAATTGTGGCTGAATAAAATTTATTGAAGTTTGCCAGCAATTATATATATATATATATATATATATATATAGATATCTTATTAAAAAACGTTGTTGTAATTGTTTAGTGACTTTGAGACTGATTATATGATGCGAAAACATGCATTTCATTAAGTTCCAACAACATAGTTATAACATAAGCTAAACATATCATCAGATTACGCAATAGCTCGTGATCATTCAACCAAATATTGATTATGTATGATACGTAGGGTGTGTAAATTCAATCCCGCCACATCGAAAAATTAAATGTTCAAAGTTTGGATCTCCTTTACTTAATAAATTCAAAAATAAAATAATAATAATAACAATACACTTCCAATCACCCCTTTAGTTCTTTGTTTTATTTACNTGGGAAACGGCAGAATTCATTCATTAAACACATAATTACAACCGACTCACTAGTTGGGATAGGAAGACTACCATAACTCGCACTAATATATTCTCTTTCATATTAGTTTTATAATTTTTTTAAACCTACCCACACATTATTCCAATATACAAATTAGGACATTACCATTTTATATTTAATTTAAAACAATATGCAATGAATTAATTGTAGAAAGATTTAGAATGTTCATCAAAATTTATTTTATTTTTATTTTAATTCTTTAAAATATATTACATTTCGATCATGTAATGTTTTATAACTATTTCAATGTGTTTTTATAGATGTTCTAAGAAAATTTAAATATTTATTTACCATGGTTGAATTGAAAAAATATATAATATGCAAGTGGCTATATATGTGGCCAATTTATTTTTGTAAAATTATAGTATTAATGCTTTTTCTTACAAATTTAATCAATATAAAAAATTATTATCTACATAAATTATACAAATAAAATAATATATAATGGTAAGTTTTTTTTGGATAATTTGTCAAGAATTCCATAGACCTGATGCTGAGGATGCACGATATAAAATTGTGCATTCATATAAGATTGTGCATTCAGTTTTTTGTTGAATAATGACATTACAAAATAAGAATGAAAATGAAATCCATATATTAATGAATCATTTTTTATATATATTATGATTTGATAGATTTTGTTTAAAGAATTAAACATAATTAAAAGAGTAAACATAAATAATTTACTAACAAATATGTTAATCGGGTATATATAAGATTCTACTTATGAATTGATACCTAAATAATTGATCTGAAATTCTTTTAACCAAAATATCAAAAAATTTGTTAAGGATATGTTAAAATAATAAAGGATTTTTCCTAAATGTGCAACAATTTGTTACAAAAAAAATGAATTGAATATTGCCATCAAAATCTCACGGTTTTAAACAATAAAATTTAACATGTCTTTTAAAAGATGTCGTGTAAACATCAACATCAATTTTTATTCCAAGATACTTTATTTGAAATTAATTCACCAAATCTCGGTAAATTTGATTAAGAAACAAGAAATTTAGGATAAGATCAAATTTAGGGTAAAATCTCGTGCTTATACAACTAAATGAAATTTTATTCCAAAATACTTTATTTGAAATTAATTCACCAAATCTCGGTAAATTTGATTAAGAAACAAGAAATTTAGGATAAGATCAAATTTAGGGTAAAATCTCATGCTTATACAACTAAATATTCATTATGTGTGATATATTAATCTCATGTTCAATAAGTTGGTGTCATATTAATCTAAAATTGTCAAACAAAACAAGTCGCTCGTGAGCTCGACTCGTCTTGTCGAGATTCGAATTTGGCTTAAGGTCCAATAATTATTTTCTTTAAATAATTTCTATATTTCAACTCGTTAATATTAATAAAGGAGTTGAGCTCGAAGTTGAATACTGGCTCAAACTCGAGTCCTACGTTTACAACCATACATATATTACCTATCCATTGTACACATTCATTACAAACAAAGGGTTGCAAAAGAAAAATACGAAAACTTCATCTTTTGCGCAAAAAATAAGAGCAAAAAATAAAAGAGTTCAAAGAGAATGCGAACAAAATCAATCGCCAATTCCAACTTCCCAGAGTAGCTATTTAAATGCCTCACCCTTACCAGTTGCTCACCAAGCCATCGAAGGAATTTGAATTCACGCTGCAGAAGAAGATTATTAGATGAACAGGCCATGGCAGAGGAATGAAGCAGAAACAGGAAAGACAAAAACCGTGTTCTCAGTCCCAATTTTAAAATCGGCAACTCACTACACAAAAGTTGCTTCGCCAAGTTTGCCGAGTTAGAAGCAGCGAAAAAAGGGGGTCATTCTTCTTCTGATCAACCAAAACATAAACAACTTTACTCTCCTGTGCAGCAGCTTCCAATCCTATTCCATTTTCCAACAGTAGCACACCAAAGAAAGTGCAACTGTAAACACCAAACAGCAACTTCACACTCATAACATTCATCAAATTCACCCAAATTCTTAAAAGAAAAAAATAAAAAATAAACACCCATAGTCATCCCACATCCAATTCAAAACCAGAAAGGATTCAACTACAACGAATCAAAAGAGTAAACGCCACGAAAACTTAGATTAAAAGAAACCGGTCTTCTCAAATCCTTACGCAGATTCATGTATAAAAATAAACAACCGACAAAAGCCAAACATATAAAAAAAAAAAAACCCTTTTTCCTGCAAACCTTACTGGTCAACCGTGGTGACCTCATGCCACTCCCCGTCAACATCCTCCTTCCACAGCGTGACATCCTTCTCCCCTGAGGCCACCGCCAGTAAATTCCCAGTCAACGACCAAGAAACCCTCCACACAGGCGCCTTGAAGTCCTTCAACACCCGCCCCTCCCACTGGTCACCCTCCTTCAACACCGTCCAAATCACAACCGACCCATCTTGCGAAGCACTCGCGATAGTCGACTTAGGCAGGCCCAAGTTCGGGGCCCACGAAACATCCCTCACCCAGTCCGCATGCATTTGGAGCGCCGGAAAGCAGTCCATCTTCCAGTTCCCATTGTACAGCTTCCAGACCCTAACCGTATTGTCGCACCCGCCCGAAGCCAGCTTCTGGACGGGCTCAGACCCTCCCGGGCCCACTAAGGCTCCCGGGCCCAGCGCTGGGGCCCACGTGACAGCTGTCACTCCGACAGGGTGGGCCTGGTCGATCCGCGTGGTGTCCCAGCCGCCGTCGGGCCGGGCCGTGTGAACCGAGATGTTGCCGTCTGACGAGCCGCAGGCGAGGCAGAGCCCGAGCTCGTGTGGGGCCCACGCGATGGAGTTGACGGAGGATTTGTGGTCGTCGAACACGTGGGACTGGGTCCACTCGTTTTGGGCGCCTTCCTTCCAGATGATGACGCGGCCGTCGTACGAGCAGGAGGCGAGGGCAGAGCCGAACTTGGGGTGGGCCCAGGCGACTTGCCAAACTGGGCCAGTGTGGCCCGTTAGGGTGGCCAAGTGCTGGGAGGTGGAGTTGTTGGGGCCCACGCCGATTATCTTTACGGTGGAGTCAGATGAGGCAGTGGCCACGCGTTTGCCGTAGTAGTCCATGGACACGTCGTGGACGATGTCGTTGTGGCCGGTTTCGATTTTCTGTGCGGGCATCTTGTCTTGGTGATTTTTTTACGGTTTTTTTTTTTGTTTTTTTTTCCGAACAAACTGTAACATTTTAGGTAAATGCTGGTCAGTAATAGATATAGTTGTTGTTCATTCCTGTACACGATTTCTTCGGATTCATATTATTATCAATAACACAAGTAGGGGTGAGCATAGGTTGGTTCGGCCCAAAAACCGAACCGAACCGAACCGAAAAAACCGAAAACCGAAATTGTAATAGCATAGCAAACCGAACCGAACCAAATCGGTTTGGCCACTGCAGTTAACAATCGAGATCCAAGGATTCCTGCCAGCTGATAATTTGTTTACACACATATACTGCTAGATTCTTCTGTTACTGTATGTATACAAGAAACACAAATTTATAACTCAACATTCAAACACAAATTTATAACTCAACATTCAACAATAAACAACATAAACAGAAAATAAAAATAAACAAAATAAACTATTTATCATAACTCGAAAATCAAACCTTTTCACAAAAAAATAAAAACAAAAATCAATTGATTTAGACTTAAATCTAAGAAAAAACTTCGGGCCGAGATACGGAGAAACGGAAAATAAAAATCCCAAAATTTTAGGGCGGGATGCGACTGAGAGTCTGAGACCGAGAGTGAGTTGAAAAATATTTGAGATTGAGAATTTGAGAGAAGATTGATCGAGAATCGAGAAAGAGCGAGGGGCAGAGACTTTACCTGAACTTGATCGCGGCTGAGATCTTGAGAAAGTGAGAATGAGAGACAGAGAGGGTGAATGTCGAGACTGAGTTATCAGATTTTGAGATTAGGTCCTAACTTAGTTAAGATAAATTAATATTTTTATCTAAATAAAACCAATCATGGACATTATTCTATATATGATTTGTCAATTGGGCTTTTAAATTATGAGGGCATATTTTTTGTCTATTGGGCCTATGCATAATAAGTCCACTTCTATTTAAACTTATTAATTTCTTAATTAATTTCGGTTCAGTTTCGGTTAATCCGAATTTTTATTTTTAGGAACCGAACCGAACCGAATAAACTGATTTTTTATAAAATCAAAACCGAACCGAATTATATAACAAAAAAACCGAACCGAATAATACTATTCGGTTCGGTTCGGTCAGTTAATTCGGTTTTAACCGATTATTGCTCACCCCTAAACACAAGCAACCAAATTCAGGTCATGTAGGAAATTTTAAATCACAGGCATGAAACATATGAGCATTGTATAGGTGACATGAGAAATAGGATCAAAGAGGCATCAAGTGATCAAAACCAAACTCAAAAGGGGTGTGATAAGGATTGGATTAACTTCTTTTATCAGCTAAAATGGATCTACTTTACGCATGAAATTAGCAACCCCCAAAGCTTAAGTCTACACGGCCATAAATCATACAAAGCTAAGATGATAGGGGCATCAAGTGATCAAAATCAAACTCAAAAGGGTTATGATAAAGATTAGATAGAACTTCATGTATCAGCTAAATTGATCCCCCTTACTCACAAAATTAGCAACCCAGAAACTTAAATCTACACGGCCTTGAATCACACAAAGCCCCAACCTTCCACATAAACAATTACCTATTAGCACAAGCGACAATCGAAAACGAGAATCACGTCGTGGGTAATGAAAATTAAAAACGACGATCACGTTATCGGGAATCAAATAATCAGTTATATAACCTGCAGAGCACTGTGAATACTCCAATTTTGTTCGAAAACAACAAATTCTAACACGCAAACGCCAAACAAACAAGGAACATTGCAATTTTCAGCACGATCGAGTGTCAATTAAACGGATCCAGTACTTTTTCAATCCTAGATCTCGAATTCCACAAGTTGATGAATGATACAATCTGATAGTTTTGGAAATCAACTGGGATAAACAAAACCTTTCAATTGTATAAAAAAACAAGGGTTTTACCAGACAGAGATTGAGATGAAGCGGGTAGGGTCGATTCGATGCGCGCGGAGTAGCCAAAGTCCTCTGAGAGAAAATAAAGGCCAAGCTCTGAAATCAGGAAAAAGGATTTTGTTCGCAATAATGTTTTGAGAATTGCAATCCGGTACTTTTACTCGTTACACTAAATTAGCCTACACGCACATGTACTTTCAAATTAGATTTAGGGAGTATATTAAGTTGGGCCATTTTATAGCCCAGTAATCTAGGCCCATCTATTCTCTGGCGGGCCCAAGTAACAAGCAATTAAGAAAGTTCCTTCATTCTATTATGTTCAGACAAATTAGTGAATTACATAACACAATTTTTAATTTACAAAACGATATTTGATAGAAACTTATACTCTCTCAGTAAGCTGGCTGATAGTTCTATAGTATAACACAGACACTGTTATTAGAACATCCACCAAACTTTGAAATATGTTCAAGGAATACAGTTAGTTTGTGATATAGGAAAAGAAAGTGAGTAACTTTGAATATATAATTGAAATTAAAAAAAAAATACTTTTTGTTCAGTAAATAATAAATATTAAATGAAAGTTAACTAGGCAACTTTAAAGTTAATCATTTGCATGAAGTCAAATTCAAGCAAACAGAAAGAAGTCTTTTGGAAATTGTCTATCATTCCTTTTGGATAAACAAGGTAAAACATTAGATTATTTATTGANATTGTTTAGATAATTCAGTCACTGCATGATTCATAAAAAAATTGAAGAAAAAATGTTAAATTGTACATTGTCCTCAACATATTATTTTCCAGCTGTCACAATTTATGATTTATGTTTGTTCTTAATTAACTGGCCAATGAACTGGTAAAAAAAAAAACAAAAACGTTGGACCAGTCCATATGTTTTTTTATTCATTTCGTTTTTTAAATTTAAGTTTTAATATGGTTAAAATATTTTAATATAAAAATACATATCTAAATATCATGGATATATAAAAGTTAGTTAAATTAATTAGTTTAAATACTTAAAAATTGCAAATTACCTAAATATTTAATTAATAATGCTTTTATAAATAAATTTTATTATATAAAATATTATATATTGAAAATTATTGATTAAACTAAATATCAATATGACCGATTCAATCAATGACCATTGAACCAGTAGTTTAAGTCATTTAATTACCAATTGAGTTGTGATAGGTTGTTTAAACATCATAATATAATAAACAATATAAACAAGAAATAAGATATTTAACAATATAAATATATATTTTTACAATTTTTATTTGCAAAACACAAAATTCTGTATAAAACAATTGAATTAACGCAATTATGCAAAATCAGTCCATTGGCAAAAAGTTATATCCTAGCAATTTTCCTAACTGGTATTTCTCTACATTAGCAAAAAAAATCAAAAGACACAACGAATCATATCTCGACAAACAATGGCGTAGAAGGAGAAGTTCGTCCACTCACACGACCCACTCAACAGACCACCAAACCTTAACTCCGATCATCACACGAACCAAATTCACCGGATCTAGCTCCGCCGCGATGCCCTTCTCCTACCGCCGCGGCGGCTGGGCCCAGTCCCTCCTCCCGACCTCCAAGCCATCCCCCAAGCACCCGCGAAAGCTTCGCCGCCGCACCACCGCCGCCTTTCGCGATTTCGTCTTCTCGAACTTCTTCACAATCGGGCTCTGCTTCACCTGCGCCTTCTTCGTCTTCATCCTATTCCGATTCGCCGCCGTCCCTAAACCCCTACATTTCCGCTCTTCGTCGTCCCGAGCTCGCTCGGCCCGGCCTCGCAAGCCCGTTCCTCAGAAGTCCACGAACGACACCGTTTTTTTGGCGGCCGCTGTGGATGTCACTACCAAGCAGCTGTATGATAAGATCCAGTTCCTGGACGAGGATGGCGGCCCGTGGAAGCAGGGGTGGCGCGTGGGTTACAAGGGGAATGAGTGGGATGAGGAGAAACTGAAGGTGTTCGTGGTGCCGCACTCGCACAATGATCCTGGGTGGAAGCTGACCGTTGAGGAGTATTATGATCGGCAGTCGAGGCATATCCTTGATACCATTGTTGAAACGCTTTCAAAGGTAAAATCTCTTCAGAAATTAAGCTCTGTACTAAGTGTAGTTGTTTGGGAATCGATTCTTAATTTGTAGAGATTTTATTTGATGTGGCAAATCTTTGATGACTATGGATCTCACGCTTCTGGGACGGCATAAAATTTATAGAAATGGTATTGATTGATACGTCGAGTAATTATAGATCATGATGTAACAAAAACAGTACATCGTTGGGTTTCAGTTTTATGTGTAGCAAGTCAGTGAAAGTTACTTAATAGTTGTTTGTGGATTTCAATAGCTGTTGTTGGTGAAAACTGAGTCATTTTGTGGATTGAACTTCATTATTTGGTGTTGTTTGTAGGATAATAGACGGAAGTTTATATGGGAAGAGATGTCTTATTTGGAGAGATGGTGGAGGGATGCTTCAGATGTGAAAAGAGAGTCTTTCATCAATTTAGTACAGAATGGGCAGCTAGAAATTGTTGGAGGCGGATGGGTGATGAATGATGAGGTTAGATGAATTCTGCGTTGTATATAAATTTTTATTTTTGCCGAAAATGGCCTGCTATTTTCGATACACTGATGTTGAGCTGCTTAATCTTACTGGGGATATGTTCATCTTTCGCAGGCTAATTCACATTATTTTGCTATCATTGAACAGGTAAATATGCAATCTACCTGTTTCTTTATTTTTTTATATTTATCTATTTCCTTTGGCTTTCATTTAACGTAAACAGCCTGAATGGGTGTAACTAGTTTCCCATGGCAGCACCTAATAGGAATATTAGTTATTTCGTGATGGTTTCTTCTCTCTCTCTTGTAGTGTTTTATTCAGACACAATTTCCAACGTGGAGAAATATTTGGATTCTACTTTTTAAACTTTATCTACATGTGCTTTCCCTGAAATCCTCTGAAACTCTGTCAAGTGTATAGTTTTCTACTTCTTATTGACATTGGAAAGGATGGACTTCATGTGATCATGAGATATGATATTCGTCCGAAGGTGTTGTTTGGACTTTCACCTGTATCTTTTGCTATCCGGCAGTTTCATATGATGAAGATAAAATGAAAGCATGCATGTTGTATTTTTGTTATGTCATGTTACACTAACCTTCTGGATACGCATACATGTTTAAATATTCATTATGTAGAAATTTTTGCGCCTGGTTAGACTGTTAATTTGATGCATGAGGAACTACCTGTATTATCTGCTAAATTTTCTTGAATATTTGTGTATTTGGCTCAGATGACTGAAGGAAACATGTGGCTGAATGAAACTGTTGGTGTTATCCCTAAGAATTCATGGGCAATAGATCCATTTGGCTATTCGCCCACCATGGCTTATCTTCTTCGCCGTATGGGTTTTGAGAATATGCTTATACAACGAACACATTATGAGTTGAAGAAGGAGTTGGCATTGCATAAGAAACTGGAATATGTATGGAGGCAGAGCTGGGATACTGACGAAACAACTGATATATTTGTCCACATGATGCCCTTCTATTCTTACGATATCCCACATACCTGTGGGCCTGAGCCTGCCGTTTGTTGCCAGTTTGACTTTGCTCGAATGCGTAGTTTTGTTTACGAGCGTTGTCCCTGGGGAGAGCATCCCGTGGAAACCGACCAAGAAAATGTGAAGGAGAGGGCACTTAAATTACTCGATCAGTATCGGAAGAAATCAACACTTTACCGAACAAACACGCTCCTTGTTCCCTTAGGCGATGATTTTCGATACATCAGCATAGATGAAGCCGAAGCTCAGTTCAGGAATTATCAACTGTTATTCGATTATATCAATAATGATGCCAGCCTCAATGCTGAAGCCAAGTTTGGTACTTTGGACGATTATTTCCGCACTCTGCGTGACGAGGCTGACCGAATAAATTATTCGGTCAATGACGAAATTGGCTCCAGCGAGATCGGAGGATTTCCTTCTCTATCCGGCGATTTTTTCACTTATGCCGACAGGAATCAAGATTACTGGAGTGGATATTATGTCTCCAGGCCTTTCTTCAAGGCTGTCGATCGTGTGCTGGAGCATACACTTCGTGGAGCGGAGATGATGATGGCTTTTCTACTAGGATACTGCCAAAAGGCACAATGCGAGAAGTTGCCTACCAGTTTTTCGTACAAGCTGACCTCCGCTCGACGGAATTTGGCTCTTTTCCAGCATCACGATGGTGTAACCGGCACTGCGAAGGACCATGTGGTTGAAGACTATGGGACACGAATGCATATAGCTTTACAGGACCTGCAAATTTTCATGTCCAAGGCTATAGAAATCTTGCTCGGGATTCGCCACGAAAAGAACGATCAGAACCCGGTGAATTTTGAACCGGCACAAACAAGATCCAGATACGATGCTCAACCGGTTTATAAATCAATTAGTGCTCGTGAAGGCACTGTTCAGACTGTGGTTCTTTTCAACTCGCTGGAGCAGACACGAAACGAGGTTGTGATGGTGGTTGTCGAAAGACCCGATGTTACGGTTTTGGATTCAAACTGGACGTGTGTCAAAAGCCAGATCTCTCCCGAACTCCGCCATGATAAAAGCAATGTATTTACCGGAAAACACCGCCTTTACTGGAAATCATCTGTTCCTGCTATGGGTTTGCAGACTTTTTACATTGCCAATGGGTTTGCCGGATGTGAGAAAGCCAAACCCGCGAATCTCAGACTTTTCACGCCTTCCAAGAAGCTTACTTGTCCCGTCCATTATTCCTGCACGAATTTGGAAAGCGACACTGTCGAGATTAACAATCAGCATCATATACTCACATTTAGCGTCACTCACGGCCTGCTGCAGAAAATCACCCGTGACAATGGCAAACACATGAATATCGTCGGTGAGGAAATAGCCATGTACTCCAGCACCGAGAGCGGGGCCTACCTCTTCAAACCGAACGGAAATGCCAAGCCCATCACCTTACCCGACGGGCAAATGGTGATCTCCGAGGGCAATTTGGTCCAGGAAGTCTTCTCTTACCCGAAAACAGCCTGGGACGACAAAAAATCTCCAATCTCCCACAGCACACGCGTATACAACTACGAGAGCTCGATACAAGAATTCATAATCGAGAAAGAGTATCACGTCGAGCTCGTCGGCCATCAATTTGACGACCGAGAAATCATTGTCCGGTACAAAACCGATCTCGACAATGGAAGAATCTTCTACTCCGACCTCAACGGCTTCCAAACGAGCCGTAGGGAAACCTACGACAAGATACCCCTTCAAGGGAACTATTACCCTATGCCTTCACTCGCTTTCATGCAGGGGTCAAACGGTCAACGCTTTTCGGTCCACAGCCGGCAGTCTCTTGGTGCCGCCAGTTTGAAAAACGGGTGGCTGGAGATAATGCTCGACCGCCGCCTCGTGAGGGACGATGGCCGGGGCCTGGGCCAGGGCGTTACGGACAATCGCCCTCAGAATGTTGTTTTCCACATAACCGTTGAGTCAAACGCCACGTTGACCAAAAACCCGTTATCAAACCCCCGTCCAGCGAGCCCTTCCCTTCTCTCCCATCTTGCCGGGGCCCACCTCAACTATCCCTTGCAGGTATTTATCGCAAAAAGCTCGGCTCCGATTTCCGTTCAGCCGCCGCCGAGATCTTTCGCTCCTCTGACGGCACAGCTGCCCTTTGATTTGCACGTCGTGGGATTTAAGGTTCCTCGGCCTTTGAGGTACTCACAGCAGAGCCCTGGGGAGCTCAGATTTGCACTGATTTTGCACAGGCGTGTTTGGGATTCTTCATACTGTCCGAAAGGAAGGTTCGAGTGTTTGAAAACTATTGCTGATGAGCCTGTTGTTAATTTGTTCGACATGTTTAGAGGCTTAACTATTACGAATGCGAAAGCAACTTCCTTGAATCTTCTGCATGAGGAGACTGATTTGCTCGGGTACAGCGAGCATTTTGGAGCCGGTGCTCTTGAAGGGCATATCGTGATTTCGCCTATGGAAATACAGGCTTACAAATTCTCGTTTTCTTCTTCTTCTGCTTCTTCTCGTTAATTTTAAGTACTGTTTTTGTCTTCTGGAATGAGTTCATCTAGAAATCACAAGGTGTGATGGGAAGTTGCGGTGAGGCAGAATTGTTTTTTGAGGAACGAGCACATGCAAGGCTTGTTTGGTAAGTATAGCTTGGGTTTTGTCTTGTAGTGTTAACTTGCTGGAAGATATACATCGGGAGGCTCGGTCTGGAAAAATGCAGCTGCCCTTGCCCAGTGAAAACGGGATGTAATTTGGTGAGGGTACTTATTGAAGTAAGAAATCTGTATCTCCTTCAGAAAAGATACATCCGGTGGTTGACGAATGTACTTTTTTGTTT